CATTCTCAGGCAACTCCACCCACTCTCCGGCAACCCCCACCCCGCTATCATCGCACAGCAGCCCCTGCCCACACAAATCCATAGACCAGCCACCCAAATCCACCAATAACTCCCCTTCTCCCTGCGCATAGCCACCCCACAAACCCAGAAACAATCATTCTTACCAAATATAGCAAAACAAATTACAAACACGTTTCCAACTCACTTCTTTAACTGGAAAACAGACTGAAACGTCAAACTCCTTCTCTTTCTTCAAATTGCTCTCAATTCTACTCAATTGCTATAAAAATTTAAAAAAATTGCTGTCAATTCCACTTAAATTTCCGGAATTTCAGGTCATCACTTTGAGTATTTTGCTGTAAAAATGGCTACTTCAACCTCAAACCTTCACTCACCCCTTTTAATGGCTGATACCGTCCCCAATTCCGTCGATTACAAGGGTCGTTCTGCTTTTCGATCTAAACATGGATGTTGGTTTTCTGCTTTATTTATCATCTGTAAGTTTACAATATTAAACAAAATTATAACCCCACTTTTTAATTTTCAATTTTTTTTTGTGGGGTTGAATGAAATTTGGTTGATGAAGGGGTGGAGATGGCAGAGAGGATTGCATTTTATGAGATTTCATCAAATTTGACATGTTTTTTTGTCTGGGAAATTGGGGCAGTCAACGACAATATCGATTGTTAACATCAATGCTCCTCCTACCAACTACTCCTACCAACTAGTCCACACACCACCTCGCACCAGTGGGTGGTGTTGCCGGAGAATGGGTGGGAGTTTGGGATGGGGCTGCTACTCGTGGAAAGAGAAGAAGAAAGTGGAAGGAGTTAAATAAGTGGGTCCACAAACAGAAGTAGTAACGGAAAATGTTAACCAGCAGCAAAACCTATAATTTTTGATTTTTGATGGTAGTAAAATAAAATAAAAATTTAGATGAGTAGCAAAAGTGAAATAAAGGTGTATTAGTGGTATTAAAAGTCAAAATTTTCAATGTTTTATGTGCCAACATTTACAATAAGGAGGGATTTAATCTGGAGTCAACTTATTATTGAACTTACACATCTATGCTCGTAATATTTTGTCCTCTATGATATTCAGTGGCGGACCCAGGAATTTCCGACTGGTGAGTCACAATTGATAACCAAATATGTAAAAAGAAAAAATTTACCAAAATTCCCAAGAAAAATTATTTACAAAGATCATCCAAATAGAAAATTGACAAGATTACAGTACTAACTAATAATTAACAAGCTTAAAATTGACAAGACTAAAATTAACAAACTAATAATTAACAAACTAATAATTGACAACATGACAAGCTTAGCTCTCTAATAATTAACAAACTAATAATTGACAAGATTAAAATTTGTACAAGCATTAGGTTCACATTTCATCAAAAACCCAACAACATTAACAAAAGGTTCAAAGTTAGTATTTTTTTTTTAAAAAAAAACTTAGAAAATAATTTATTTATTTATTTTTTTAAAAAAAAACTTAAAAAATATTTTGGGCCCTGATGAGTCATTTGACCCACCAGGCATAAGGCCAAGTCCGCCAATGATGATATTGACAACCCCTAAGATAGAAAGGGGACCTTGCAAGCTTAAGCACTTGGCTCGACACAGTTAGCAAGTTAGATCGTCCGTAATGCTATAGCTAGTGGCCTAATTTCACAAGATTTTTGTTTGCATTAGTCTCTAAAATGCCTTGTAAAATTGTAGAGCAACAATCCTTAAGTTATGGGACTTATAGATCTCTTAATTTTTCTTGGAAATTTTGGAATAAGTAAGTGTAGTATGGTGTTAATTTGATGTTTGCAACGGTTTTGTAAGTGAAAATGGGCATCAACAAGAGGGGTTTTGGGCCTTGGGGTGATGAGTTCTTTCTCTTTTTCATCTCATAGTAACTTTAGCTCCCATGGGTTAAGAAATGAGGATTGTCATTGTGAGAACATCTCATAGCAATTTTGGCTCCCGTAAGGTTAAAGGATTGTCACATACTATTCAGGTTTTAAAAGAAACAATTAGTTTGTATTTAATATATAAATGTGAGTTGAAATTATTTATCTTACCATGAACTCGTGAAGAAAAAGGGAGAATGACTAACCTATAAGATTGATAAGTGATTCCTCCTATCACTAATTTGTTTTAATATAGATCATCATTAAGCTTATATATGGTCAGACTCTCCTCTAATATTTAAAAAATAAAATATAAACCTTTTATACAAGGGGTTTTAACATCTTATTATCATAACGTCAAATAAGGCCATAAGGGTGCTTATGCGACAAGACAATGTGCGAGCAACTCAAACTTGACTCGATCAAAACTCGAACGCATCATAATATAAGCACCCCTATTGTTAGATGGTACAATAAGTCATGTGTAAGGCGAGTGTATGTTAATATTATTGTAAGACGGTCAGTTTGAATGGTAATTTTATCTATTTTTATGGTAACTTTAACCCCTTAAAGGGTAACATTTAATTTGTTGTTGGTTTAAATTTTATTTTAATGTGTGACTTCTTATAGATTCATGATTAGATAGTATAAAGGCTAATATGATTTGTCTTGTAATAGAAACGATAACTTTAAATCCTTGAAGATAACTTTAACTTGTCTTACAATAAATTAACATACACCTGTCTTTTTGGAAAATTTGTGTAAATGTTAGTATATAAAATATTTTTGATATTATCTTTTCAACTTTCAATTTCATTTTCATTTTCATTCTTTACGTTTTCTCGTAACTCTATCAATTATATCCCAAATGTGATGTAGTATTCTAGTTGTGTAATGTCATTATCGCATCTACTAGTACTAAAACATTAAATGTGAATGCATCTCATTGACAACGACTATGAAGGAGCTAGGATGTCACATTGTTATCGGTACGTGTCAATGGGGTTTCGTTTTTTCACTTCGAAACAAAATTCCATACTTGTCATTACTCGAGCCCGTTGAATACCAGCCTGATAGAATCATGCTTAGCTTAGTTTTTATTTTTACTTTCATTTTTATTTTAATTTTATTTTTTGAAGAATGCTTATTTTTTAACACAAAGAGAAGATAGATTATATTAATAGGCTAAAGCCATAATATTAACATTATGCACCACATAATTTTGATTCATTCTTCTCTCTTGGAGTGTGAGTAACGAATTAACGATGGCCACTTCAAACTTGGCCAACACAGCCGCAACATCACAAATTGCTGCTGCTAGTTCGTGATGTGGATTAGGTCCTGCTGTAAGCAACTTATCACGAAGAGTATTTGCATACGTTTCAACAATCACCTTCTTGATCTTCAAGTCTTCCGCAATTGACAGCCCTTTTTTTTTTTTTTTTGAAGAATGCTTAGCTTAGCTTATCTTGATTCATTTCTTGTTTTTTTTTTTAATAAACCTATGATTTGGACTATTCCTTTTTGGTGTGGATTTTTGCCATTTTTCATTGTTGAAACTTCTAAATTGGTCTTGTGTTGCAATTTAGGTTCAATGTGTAATACCCTAGAAATTCTTTTTCTTTAAAATATCTGTTTTGCCTATTTTAAAATACGAAAGAGGAAAATCTAAAACATTACCTAGGGTTTGTAATTTGGGGCTTTTTAATTCAAAACCAAATCTGAAAATTTATATACATCATACTTAAAACCAAACATCATAAAAATCATCACACGACCCAAAATAAATAATTAAATCAAGGCTAGATTAGGATTAAAAACAAAAGAATTTTTTTTTTGTTCGAATACCAACAGCCACTACACCACAGCAAGGCTGCTGCTGCGCACCCGCTGGTGGTGCCGCTGCTGTCGCCGGCGTTCTCTGGTGGCTGCGGCAGTGGCCGGCGGCGTGTGGTGTGAAGAAAATAAGGGGAAGGGGGAAAATAAGAGAAAGAGATAGAGAGTTACCTTTGGGTATTCTCCACCTTAGGCAAGGTTCAATTTGCCCATATGATGGGTATTTATACCCCCTCTCAAAACCCTCCTACTTAAATTCCCCTTTCTACTCTTAATGATCTCTTCTCCTATTCAAACTAGCTAGTATTTTGACTTTCCTTAAATACCATTGACTTTAAAAATTACTTTTTTTATAAAATTATATGCCCCAATGTTTCCAAATCATCAAATAAAATATTTTCAAGATTGTTAAATAATTAAAAATAAACTTTTAATTAAAATAATTCTTTTTAAATTAATGAAACACCATAAATAATTCATTTCGAATTATTTAAATACTTTAAGAAATACTTATTTAAGTTAAAATACGTATAAACATACGGGGTATTACACAATGGGTTTGTTTTTAGTTTATTTTTCAGTCTTTTCTTTGCTTTTGTGAGGCTTTTTATTGCCAGCCCATGTCAAGTTTGCACCAAACAATCAGTTTGGTATGCATGGCTACTAGAATTACCCCCATTCTATAATAATTACTTCTTTTGTTTCATTTGAGATTTATAAATTGACAAAAAATAAATTTATGTAATATGATATTTAATATCTATACTTATATGTTAAAAAGCATTTCTAAAATATAATATGTGTTACGTGTCACCTTTCACATCATGTATTAGATTTGATAACTTAAAAATGCTTATACAAAGAATTAAACTCAAGACCAACAAGTTTCAAGTTACAAGTCTTACCATCTTAGCCATTTATTTTTTGTGATTTTCTATCCAACAAAATTATAATTAATTTAGATAAGGTAATTAACTATTATACTATTTGTCTCCATTATGTAATGATCATGAGACTATTTAACAACTTAAATATTAAAGTTTCAAAAAAAATTTATTATTTTTCGATTTGATGAAAAATAATTTAATAATTTTATTTATCTATTAAATAGTCAATAGCTATTGAATGATTTTAAATCACAACATATCATATATTGAATATGGTTCTCAATACAAATCTTTTTTCAAGTTAAGAAATTTCAAGAAGATTATCAAGACACTAAGAAAAAATAATCGAACATGTTTAGCAAACTAAACAAGTATAAACTAGCAATCCGGGTCATCGCCCGAGCCATACACTAGTTTGCATATAAAAAGTTGTGGCATAGTTGTTGGAGGATCAAACCTTGGCTCCCCAACCTTTTGGGCCAAGATCCAATACTAAAACACGAGAAGTAAACCTAACTAAGACCTGGCAAAGTCGCAAGTCGCAACCAATTTATACTACACAGTTTGTGTTCTGGATCTTCTATTGCAACATATAACACCTATGTTGTATGCTTATAATACCTTTGTGATAAAGAACATACGCAAATCATGATGATCATGGCGTTGTAATTCAAAATGTACAAAATTAGAGAAAGCGTCAAAATGGATAACCAAAAAAATATGGAAGAACACAAGAATACAATAACCACCACTAATTAACCCATCATATGTAAGAAAGCCAAAAAAAACTATCTTTTTTTGTTTCCTTTTTGTTTAGTTAATTGATTAATCAAAGAACTCTTGATCATCTTCAGCAAGTACCATCCTACTTAAAGGACTAGGCCCAAGTTTTCTCCTCCTTAAAGAAGCTCTTCTTCTAATAATCTCCATCTCATTTCTTCTCCTAACTTGCATCATTGCTTCCTCTTCAACCACAAACCTTCTCATTAAAACATCGTCGGTCAATGATTTCCCTCTAAAGACTCTCCTTCCCTCGATGCTATGCCTTGCACTAGGAATCCTCCATTCTTGTGCATTATTCGTTGAAGGTGGTGGAGTAAAGGGCTTTGATCGCGGGTAAGTGTAGCTTCTCCTAGGAGGAACATCGGTGTTGAAGACCTCGTTGTAGGAGGAAATAGGAGCACATAGGCATACTCTTGTGAAAGAAGTGGCAACTTTAAGAGAAGTAGATTTTATAAGCTTTTGTTTGCTAGGGTTTGTTGTTGGTTGGATTTCTGTGGTTTTAATGGTTTTCCATAGTGCTGAATTTGCAGTTGCTGGTGATTTTACAATTACTTTCCATAAGGTTGTCATCTCTAAGGCTTTTCGATACCAAGGCTTCCTAAAAGTAAAAATGAAAATAAAGTGAATTCGGGAGTAATCATATTGGTAACACCACATATCAATGTTATCCTCAATCTCAAAAACTTCCTTAAATAATACAAAGGACGACAAGAGCAATATCCCATAGATCATAGATGGGATCATCATTAATCAAACCAACATAGACATGTACAAATATGTACTCAGTGATTGTAATTAAAAATAATACTAGTAATAACGGTATAGAATAGATTAGCAAAATTTACTGATAAGATTGAGTAAATCATAATGATATATTTGGAGCGACAAAAAGTTGATAAAATTTAGGCATGACATACACCAAATGTGGTACTTGCTCACATTCGTTCCAATTTAATCAGATGCCTTCAGGCTTATGTTTACATGTCTAAGTATGATTTTGAGGTAAATTTTACAAATGTTGGCTGCCATTTCTTGTTTGAACACAATTTCAATTCTTCAGCTTTATGCAAATTGCTAAACTTCTATAATGTCAAAGAGCTTATCTTTGTCAACAAAAAATTCACATAAACAATATATACTTCACCCACCATTACAAGGATAACGATATATGTAATCCTCAGGATTGCACGCCGCATATAAGCATTTATAACATTTCCTAAAATTTTTTGTTTCTTATATACAATCATAGAAGACCATATATATCAATTACTTTATCATAATAATTAGCAAGATACAGAGTATATAAGACACTTTATGTCAATCAAACATTAGACAAATAGCATTACTCTAAGTTAAGGCCAAACTTTAAAATGTCCAAGCTTCATGTGACACCACACCTTGGTAGCTTGGCTGGAAATTGATGTAAAGTTAGATTGTTACACATGAAATTCCATTTTATTGTTTATCGTTGACAAAATCTATTGCTCAAATACTTCATAAAACACCTGTACTGTATATAGTTTCACATCCCAAAGTTGACAAAAATTAAAAAATTATTTAACAAATTTTTTATAATTAATTTAGCCACAAAACACAGGCATTGACGCATGAACCATTGTTCTTAATTACTTCATCTAATTTTAGGTGGCATTCCTTCCATTAATTTATACGAATATATGATATGCTATAGTTAAAGTTAATATATGAATCATACACTAAATATTAGTAATAGAGAATATACGACAAAAAAACAAAAAACAAAAAAATATCCCATTTATCTAGCCTTATTTTTCACGTCTTATCATTTGATTCATTTTGGTGTTCAAAAAAAATGTATCAATACCAAGTAGGACCAAGGAGCAACGGACAAATTAAAAAAAAAAAAAATGCTTTATGACTTAGCAAAGGCTTTTAATATGTTTACAAGCTGTTAATTACTGTTCTACAACCATTTAATTTTTTTAGGATCAATCATCGTAAAACACTAAGGATGTAACATAATTTTACAGAATATTAGACAAGTAGCCAAAGTTTTTATCATTTGATAATGATAAAATAACTTAATTTCATTATTTGAAAATTAATTGTAGACAGCATAAAAAATGATAAAATAACACTTGTCTAGAGGTAGTTTTGGTTAGGGATTAGTGATGAAAGTAAAATAAAAGCTCTGAAATAACTAAACTTATAAGTGACGCAATCTGTGGAAGCTTAAGACAGGTATTTCTCATGTTCTCATGTTCTCATGTTCAGTTCTATGATGACCCTTATGACATATTGACAGAGTTAATAAGATAAACATGATGGTTGTGACTTGTGAGTGTATTTTAAGCCAATAAAACAAACTTTGAAATAATAGTCACATATATACGTCATTTTGAGATGCCTAAAATAAAAATAATCCCAATTATGATTAAATTTTCAAATATACAATATTAATTATGAAATATTGTGATATTGAAGCGAGAATGCGACAATTAATTTTAAATCATGAAAGATATTATTCTAATATGCTTGCAATGATAATGACTTGAGTAAACATCTATTGAGTAAAAAAGGGTTCAAATGAAAATTAATGTTTGGAGAAACTTGCAAGCACCAAAATGCCAAACATAAATGTGATTGAATTCTACAAATTACTCCTTTTGTCCTGAATGTGAAATTAATAGTGAAATTTGAACTAGTGGTTGGTATGATGACGAACCACAACAAGCCAATGAATTCTAGCTACAAATTACTCCTTACATACTCAACTGTCACGTTAATAGTGTAATTTGAACTTGTGATGAAACCACCCACAACAAACAAGTAAATTCTATAAATTACTCCTTGTATCTCTAATTGTTACATTAATAACGTAATTTGAACTAGTGGTGTGACATCCCTCGACAAACCTCCAGATGGAGGTAGTAATGATATAAACCCAATCAATCAACAAAGAATCATGAAAAGAATCAAGAATGAAACATAATAAAACAAAATGCATGGAAATTGAAATAAGAATACAAACCTTGTTCTTGAGGTCTTGGGATCTTGCATGAACAAAGCACCCAGAAGAAGAAAGAAGCAGAATTTGATGACAGAGCAAGTTCATTTGTTAGAAACACAGAAAAAGACACACAAAACACACTAAACTGTTCAAGAAAGAAAGAGAGAAAATAAAACACTTTAACTTCAAATATTTATGTGAAGATGGGTTGGCAACTTGGAAATTTCACTCTTCCTTTATTTATTTACTTTCTTTCCTTTTTTTTAATCTTTTCTTTTTATTAAAATTTAAATTAAATTAATTACTTTTATAAAATAAAAAAATGACAGGCTTCAATTTTATTCAGAGTGATTCAAATTGGCCCAAAAGGACGAAAAAGTAAAGCTCTTACCCACCTTTATCTTCTTTTTTTTTTTTTTTTTTTTTTTGCTTACTTTAAAATAATAAAAAAGAAAAAAAATTAAAAATGTATTAGCAATAATACAATGTTGAGGGCGTGGAAAGTGTACACACCCTAGCTTAGTAATCATGTTTAGCCTCTCTTTGTCTATTTATGATTATGGGCATGTATTTTTGCTTCTTGTGATGGGACCATTTTTTTTTCTTATTCTTTGGTTCTCATGTGATTATGATCATATGGTATCAATGATAATTAATTCACCAAATCTTTCCTTAAACACATTCTTGTAGATAATTAGTTCATGTATATGGGTACTATCAACTAAGATCGATGACAAAATATGATATATTGATATGGCTACCATGATCGTGATACCATTGAACTATGTGAAAATGAGTATACGAATGATTTATGTATTTTTTTAACCTATTTTATTCATTAACGATATATATGTCTACATACAAGTATAACTTAGTAAATTTAGGTATACTTACTCGAGGATATTTTTGTACCTTAAATTAACTGAAAAAATGAAGCGAACAAATTAATAACATCCATTAAAGATTTTATCAACTATATTTCGAGATCTGACTTGAAATATCAATAATATACACTAACAAGGATGTAGGAATCGGTAATGAAATACATATATATATCAATTTTTTTTTTTTTTTAAAAAAAAAAAAAACAAGTTAAATTATCAACCATTTTTAATGTTTACAAACTAATACAAGTAGTATCCAAAACTTTATAATTTTATTGAGATATATTATATGTAAAGTAATCTACAAGAAGAGCACAACAATGATTGAACATAAACACACGCACAAAGGAGGGCACACAATTCATACTAAGAGATTTATACAGTTATAAAAATAATAAATAAGTAAATTTCAAGAAATTAAAAAATAAGGATGCAATGGAAGGTAACATAATGATTAATTTTGTTGGGTGGTTTATTATTATTTCCACGAGTTTCATTTAAATTAAAAAATAAAAAATAAAAAAAAGGCTGCTGTGCATACAAAAGGCACTATCATTAACGATATGCTAGATTATTGATCAAGGAGATCCGATCCATACAGTAGTTGAGTAGTACTAGCATGCATTAAGTATTACAAATTATGTAAATGTAAACCAAATTTCATGAATTTGAGATCTATCTTATGAGCTTTTATTTATTTTTATTGGTTATACACCTCAAGCTTAAATTAAGCGTTGGCCATGGCATAATATATCATGATTGTCTTGATTGAGAGAGATTTACATTTGCATGTTACATATATAGATCACAGCGACATGAATTGATAAATGTGTGGGGAATGAAATTTAATGAGTGATACCATATAGTGGGTAGTTTTGTCTTTTTGTTAAGTTTTGTATTTTCAGCGCGTTTTGTGTACAATTGGCCACTGGCGCTTGTAAGAGAACAAAGTAACTTCTATAACACTGGCCGAGTAACTCCTGTAACACTGACGAGTTGAAATAACCCTTGTAACACTAACCGAGTAACCCCCTATAACACTAATTAATAAAAGTTGGTGAAACCTATATTTCTTTACATGAATTTAGTTCAACACAAATTCTTATTTGCAACTAACCACATTATATGGTCACTTCACATATAAGGTACGTAATTGAATAATTGAGGTTATGGTAATGAGCAAATGAGATTACCTTGATGGATCAATAGGAAAATTGGGATATTATATTCTCATATATAAATGGAATTATTCTTTAGTTAATCAAAACAAAAGAATAGTGGTTCCTCACATTAGCAAATGGGGTTATATTTTTCAATTTTTCTTGATATTACTTATATGATGAATTGTTTTACGGACAAAATGGGTTACTCACTCAGGCCTCGTTCACTTCACCTTATTTTTGCTTAACTGAAATTATTATTACTGAACTGAAATCATTTTTGCTGAACTTAAATTATTTTTACTGCACTGAAATTATTTTTACTGATTTTCTATTATATTTCTTCTTTAAAGTTACTAAATTTTACTGAACTGAACTTAATTTTGCTGAACTGAAATTATTTTTACTGAACTAAGCTTATTTTTACTGAACTGAAATTATTTTTACTTAATATTATTTTTTTAAGGTAAAGTGAACAGGATCTTACTCAGCTCTATGAATAAATAAAGTTACTCTTATTACTCCCTTTGTTTTTAAATACTTACTTCATTTCTACTTTTTGCACTATTTATTTGTCCTACTTTGACTAATGTTTTATTCATATATAAGAAAAAATTTAGTCTTGTGGGTGCTTGTTGGAATTGTCTCAATGAGTAGATTATTAATTTTCAATTGTTAGAATTTATACTTATTGATAATTAAAAATATTATTGATCAAAGATTAGCATCGGTATACATGCTCAAGAGAAATGGAGCAAGTATTTTAAAACGAAAGGAGTAACAAATATCATACTACCTCCACTTTTTTGTTGACACGTTTTAACTTTAGCATGCATTATTCACACTCTACTCTTAGACCATGTTCTGTGATTTATACATAATGAAAAATATACTTATGTGGGGTCTTGTTAGATTTGTCACAATATATATTTAAAAAATATTTTGCTTATCGATAGAACTTGTGCATTAGCATACGAGACTAAAGAAACATGTCAACTAAATAAATTTGGATGAAATCTATATTAAGGATTTTAATATCTATTCAATATATCTTTATACGCCTATTAAGTTGGCCACCATAAATTCTTAAATTATTTCCTTAGGAAAAAAAAAAAGGTAAGTTGGCTAGCTAAAACAAGGGGAGATCAAAAATAGGTCGGACTGAAGAGAATCAAGCCGGACTCTAAATGGAGAAACTAAAATTTTCAGTCTTCGGTTGTATCCGGTCCAAAATCCATGCAAAAATTGATCACATTTACGGTTTAATTTTAGGAAAAATTTATGGGGTTCATCCCACCTTTGGGCCATTCGTTTTTAATAATCCCATCTTTGGATTATTTTTTAATAATCTGACCTTTACCCCCAATTCTTTTTTAATGGTCCCAACCGGTCATGTAGCCTGTTATAACAGGTTACATGAGACGTGGCGGCCTGTGATTGGTCAAAATTTTTTTTTAAAAAAAAGTTAAATTTATTTAAAGAAAAAATTAAAAAAAAAAAATTAATTACAAACCAGCCTAAGCCACCACCCTTCCCAGCCAAAAACCACCATCTCCCTCTCCTATCCCACCGAAAACCACCGAACAACCACCACAGCCCCACCCCCTTCATATGAAACCACCGCAACCCCACTCCCCCTTCACCTGAAACCACCCCTTCCACTCCCAAATCCGACCACCCCACCCTCTTTCCCTCTCAAATCCGACCACCCCACCTTCTTCCCTTCTGAAATCCGACCACCCACCCCCTTCCCCTCCCAAATCAGACAACCCCACCCCCTTCCCCTCTGAAATCCGACCACCCCACTCCTTTTCCCTTTGAAATCCGAGCAGTCCACCCCCCTCCTTGCCGTCGTCGTCCACCGCAACCCTAAACCTTTGAAAAAAATCCGGTTTCGGGGTTAGGGTGATTTCCCGTTTCCGTTTGAGGTGGTTTCGGGGTATGGGAAGGGGGCTGCAGTTTCGAAGGATGGGAAGGGGCTGTGATTTACCGGCATGGGGGAGTGAGGGGGGTAGGGGTTCGTGATGGTTGCGTTCGGGTGGGGGGGTTTAGGGTGGTGGTTATAGTGGGGATGGGGCTGGGTTGCAAATGGGGGTTTGGGGTGGTGATAATGGCTGGGACTTGTGGAGGAGGTGGCTGGGACTTGTGGAGGAGGTGGCTGGGTTGTCGTTTTTTTGTTTTTTTTTTTTAATTTAAAATTTTAGACAAATTGTATAGTGACACGTGTATTTTAAACCAAAAAAAAAATATTTACCTCTTCAACCGGTTACTGGTCACCCAGGACCATTAAAAAAGAATTAGGGGTAAAGGTCGGATTATTAAAAAATAAACCAAAAGTGGGATTATTAAAAACGAACGGTTCAAAGGTGGGATTATTCCCATGAATTTTTCCTTAATTTTATGAAAAAAGAGCATGTATAATTCCCTATGCAAGAAATATTTTTATATACTACATATGGAGTAAATAAGTTATTTTATGTCCCCTAAAAAAAAAGTTATGTTATGCAATACGTTCAAATTAGGCATTAAAAAATCATTTACTTCTTACTTAGCCCGAATTTTGGACCATTTATATCAGTTTGGTCTAATTTTGTTCTGGCCCGGTCTTAAACTAGTGAATAACCCTAGTTAAAATGACATTAAATAACAATTATTTCAACACTTAAAATTTGTTAATTATATTGAATAAACTCAAATTATTAAAAAATTTAATTAATCTATAAAATCAACCATAAAACCAAACATTTAGATCATTCAAATTATTCGTATCTTTAACAGTAGTTTTTTAGGAGAAAAATCTAATTATTACAACAATTATTGAACCATAAATCTCATGAGGAAAAGGTATAGTTTATATATGTAACTAGTTTTATACCCCGGGCAACGCCTATTTTATTTTAAGATAATTTTTTTATCTATATGACTATATGCATGCTATAATTTAAAACGTATCATTGGTACACACAATGTTATGTAAAAGGTGCATATATATAACTTATGTGCGACTATTTTATTTCCCTAAAAAATCTTCAAACTTTGGCGGATCTTGATTTAATTTAATATTATTCGCAACGTCCTTAAAAAATTTATGAAGTACAATATAACAATTGGTTGTGAACTTTATATTATTAGTTGATTTAAATAATCTTAAATCATTTTAAATTACCTTTTAAAACAAATTTCATAATATAAAAGTAGACTTATAAGGTATTTATTGAAGGTTATAATTTATTTTGTACATAAGAAATGTTGGTAGTTTTTGTTCTTTTTTTTTTAAAAAAATAATCTAAAATTAAAAAATACATATTAAATTAAACTAAAAATAAAT